GACGAAGGAGAGCGAGGAAGAAGGCGAGGAGGAGAAAGAGGAGGAGGAAGACGACGAGGAGGAGGGGGGGAGGAGGAAGAATAACAGAAGGAGGAAAAGAAGGAGGAGGAGGAAACCGGATGGTTTCGAGGGCCCGTTCGAGTCTTACACGAAAGTGTTGAATACCCATGGGTTTTTCAATACCTTCGCTTCTTGGGCCATCAAGAGTTCTTGGCGCATCAAATGTTTCCCAACTATCCTGTGGTGCTGGGTCCTCGTTTTTAAGAGATGGCGCCGCGGGTTCTCCTCCTCCTCCTCCTTCCTCCTTCCCCTCCTGCCCTCGTTTCACCCTCCCGGTACATCGTTTCGTGGCCCCATAGGGAGCTCTCCCGAAGGCCCCCGTGCCAACGCCCGCATGCGCCACCCACACCCATGTCGGCACACCCCTCACACGATCCGTGGCCCCATAGGGAGCTTCACCGAAAGCCCCGCCTGCAGAGAAAAGGCTGGGGCCAGAGGCCAGCAAGGAAGGGCGGGGACGGGGATGGGCAGGCAGAGGAGAAGAGCAGGAGATGCAGGGGCGCTGTGTTAGGCCTTCCCGCCCTCGTCGGTTTCCCCAACAGTACCCAAAGAGAAGGCCGAAGGCTCCCGCAGTGGCCCCAAGAGTTCTGCCCCCCCCCAGCCACCTTACCATGTGTCGGGGACAAGTTCTATTACAACAGCATCATGGACTGGTATGGTAATGCCTTGGGGGGAACGACGGCACGCTGAAATGCGATACCCTATCAAGAGGCCGGCGCTAACCTCCACGCGACCTCGCGGCCAACATGCGCGCGCACCGCTTTGTCACGAACGCTGCATGCCCGCGGGCTTACTGCGCATGTCTGCCCAGTCCACCCAAGAATATCGAACGCAATCCGCATCACTGCCCTGCAGAGAAACAAAACTCGCTTCCACCCAAAATTCAAATAAGAAAAAAGAAAAACACACGTGCGAAACGAACCGGAATAACTACGATAACACATCGGGCGACATCTCCAGAGACAGCGATGGATACGTCCAGAAAAAAAAACGCGCATCAACCAAAGCACCACCGCAGAAATATTCTGAACACGCAAAGTGGCTGTCCTGAGGAAAACCATGATGAACATATAACGCATGCTTTGTCCGAACTTATCGTTGCCCGGATCGGGTAACCTGTTGGGTCGGACAGACTAGAGGCCTCCTACATGGGGTCCGAGTAGATGTGGTCGGAGGATCGCGCCGCGTCGCCAATGCATCGTCGATACATCGGCGATGCACCAGCGATGCATCGTCCATGTCGGGGATACGTCTGCGACGTCGACGTGAAGGACATCGGGCCCCGCATCGAGCCGCATCGAGCCGGATCGGCGGTGCATCGGCGATGCGGCGCGATCCTCCGACCCCCCTCCACTCCGACCCCATCAAGGAGGCCTACACAGACTGGGCTGCCCAACCGGGCGAACCAGGCGGGCTGGCTGAGCCAAGCAGACTAGGCAACCTGCCTGCAGGACTAGACTCAAGGGGCCCATGGGACACGCCAATAGATACACACAGATCCAAGGCTTCCCCAGAGGTTCATATACCTTCTGGGTGTTTGCCTTCCCCCCCACTTCCCATATGCTCCCATACTTCCCTGGGAGTCGACGATTCAGTGTGTCTGTGTGTTCCCCCCGCCCGATAGACGGGCCCTACGTCCAGAGCCGGGCAGGACGGCCCAGACCGCAGCACGGGACAGGCGGCCATCGGCGCCCACGAACCAAGCTGGCAGGGGCTCCCAACTTCGCGCTCCGCGCTGCGCGAAGCGCGACGTGCGAAGAGCGTCGCGCTCTCGCGCCGCCTCCCAGGGGGGAAGGGAAGGATGAGGAGGAATCGGAGCCGAACCGCGAAGCGCGAATGACTTCGCGCCCTCGAGGGCGCCCTTGAAGATAGCAGCGCCCACGTTGACGATGACGAGAAGCTACGGGCCACGATTGCATACGATGCAGCATCAAGCGAATGCCAAGTGCCAAACGGGGCTGGGCAACAGAAACGGCTATACAAATTCTTGCAATTCTAAATTTATCCGTCTCAGCCCTCGGGGGGGGGGATTATGTATATAGCTCGAAGAGGCTCCCAGAACGAAAAAAGAGTGACTGCTTTTACGGTTGATTCCTGCCGTTGTCATCGCCTTTCTGTTCTTCCACTCCTCCCATTCCTGCTCCTCCCTCCGCATCTTCCCATTCCTCCCTCCGCGCCATCCTCCTTCGAGAAAGCCGCGAAGTCATAGTTGGTTCACCCATGGACTCGATGCTGTTGCACTTCACTGGTCAAGGCAACCCGCCTGGGGATTGTTCCTGGATGGGCTGGTGGGGATTAGCGAAACGTCAACACTGCTTATCATGTTCCGCATGCCCTGAAACTTAGTTATTGCGTCTAATGTGGCGTATCGGCCCCCTTCCCTCCTTCCCGCCCTCCACCCTTCCCACGGATCACTCATACTGAGGTCAATCATGGTCTGCCTCACCCGTACCCAGACTGAGTCGTGCTCAGGATCACTCACACTCAGACTCACACTAATTTACTCATATCCGTACTCCATCGTATTCAGATCACTCGCGCTCAGAATCACTGCCATCAGACGCACTTATTCCGCGGTTCACTGACGCTCAGCAGACTCACTCGCACTCAGACTCACTCATACGTGGACTCTCCCATACGCAGACTCACGCATACACAGCCTGACTTATGCACGTGATCATCGCGATGCAGCAGACGTTGCACGTGTCCCCCCCTCAGAAGAAGGTGTCAAGCAAGGGTATTATACTGGCTCGTTCGCTCCCAGATTATGGGGACCTCTCAACCAGAATGGACGTGTTGGTGCGGAAGCCGTGTCTTGTCTGCCCAGAGCCAACAAAAATACCGGGTCGTAGCGATCATGCCACTGGGGCATCACACGGGGGTGCCGGCCATGGGTGTTCCATGTGCCCGTTCTAGCCCAGATTGTCGGGACCTCTCGAGCAGAATGGCCGTATGTTGTGTTCTTCGGACTCCCACTGCGGGTGCCATTACAAACGTGCGCCGTTGGAGCAATTCGCTTTCGACATCGTCTTTGCGCAGAAAACTCTGCACTGACAACAACGGGCAAATACTCAACACAATAAACCTTGCGAACTGGCCGACTCAACGCCGATGAGAAACGGGGTACCGGCTCGGTGCAGTAAATTCTGCTCCTTCAGGGTCAGACCATGCGGAATTAAGGATCGGGCTGGTCGGCATCACCAGGAATGGTTAGGCGGCGCTGCAGCAACGAAACTACAATAGATGTATGAACAGACAGGTCCCATGGCCAGTCTAAACACAGCAGGACACGGTCGCCACACGCGGCTCCAAGTAGAGAAAGGTGCAGGGCAGTCAAATGCACCAAGACGGCGCGGGAGGAGGAGACGGAGGAGGACCTGGGTAAACCCAAAGATGCATCAGCGATGCTGCAATACATACACCCTCCCGCCATGTTCCCCTCCTCCTCCTCCTCCTCCACCTCCTCCTCCTCCCCCTCCGCCTCCTCTTCCTCCTCCTCCTCCTCCTCCTCCTCCTCCTCCTCCTCCTCCTCTCCTCCCTCCCTCCTCCTCCCCTCCCCCCCCCCTCCCTCCCCCTCCTCCTCCCCCTCCTCCTCCCCCTCCTCCTCCACCTCCTCCTCTTCCTCCTCCTCCTCCTGCTATCCTCCTCCTCGTGCAAGCCTTCCTCTTCACTACGAGCAGTGCCCCATGGAAAAACCAGCACACCCGGTGTGGGCCTGCCACTGATGCGCGAGGGCCCCGCGATGAGAAAGAACGGCCCTGCATCATTCCAGCGAACATAGGGGATTCAACTGGCGATTTATCTATTATACAGGGATCAATCCATCAAACATAAGGGATTCAAAGGGTGATCTGCATCAACCCATCGATTATACAGTTCAACTGGGTGGACGGCGAAATCCACATGTTGAACAAACGCACATGCCTTTCGCGTACTGGTGGAGACATGTAGGCGTGCGGTCATAATGTTTGAGAAAATCGCAGGCGGAAAAAACCATGTTGGAAAGGAGCCACGGGACATCCGAATATCTGCTACACATGTTCACCCTCCTGGCCTGCACTTGGATGTTCGGAAGTTCCTAGCGACAACCCCATGATGGAAAGGAGCCGTCCTCAATCCCCGTAACTGTTGCAAGCAATTTACGCGAATGTGCGCGGCGCTTGAGGCGATTCGGATTGAACCAAAAGGGAATCCAGCAACAAGGGGGTGGTGCAATAGATTTGGTGCAATAGACTTGTTGGATCGCAATACTAATACTTTTGGGGCGTGCAATACATTTCGGGGCGCGGATGCGTTGCTGAATCTTCGCGTGCAGTGCATGTCTTGCAATACAATGCAGTCCAATACTCCGGCGCAAACCATTTGCGATAAAATTGCCCCAAATCTGTGGCACCACCCCATTTCAACTGGACGCCCTTTTGGGTCACCCCGAGCGATGGGGTCCATTTCGAACAGGAGCCGCCCTCCGTCCCCGCAACCGCTCCTCCCATCCTTCTTGCAGCCGCAGAGTGTTGAAACGAATGTGCGTGGCACGGCGTTGCGGCGATGGCTGCATGTTCAAAGCTGCAGTTTAAAGGCTATGGGCAGCGCAACAACCGGGGGGTCCAGGAAACACGGGCTGGTGACTTTGGGGTCTGGAACTGGTTCGCTTCAACGACGCCTTCGCCCGATGTGGTTGCAGACGTTTATCCCGCCAATTCGTTGCGCATGAAACCCGCCAATTCGTTGCGAACGAACTTCCCACTCTGCCATCGGAATCGGAAAACACTCTGAGGTACCCCATGTCCCCTGCTCGCAGGCTCCTTAGGCGAGCAGGTCGGATCTGGACGTCAAGCCTCAATCGGCAAACGCAGCAGAGCAATGCAACCCGCCAGCTGCAATCCATTGCACTCCAATTGGGGTGCTGCAGTGGATTTGGGCCGTGCACTCTGCTCAGGGGTGTAAATATCTTGCTCGATTCTTGCGCGCAATGCAACGCAATACAAATCTCTGGCGCGATACATTCGCGATACAACTGGCCGCCTGCAATGGCATTTGCAGTGCGCCGTCCGCGGCACGTGGCCATAGCAACGCGCGTCATGTGCCAGACAGAGCACTCCACGCCCAACGCATCAACTCTTGATGCGACTACAGCTGCCGATGGGCCGCCGAAGTCGTCGAAAACAATTCGAGACACCTGTCTGCCGTCAGCCCCAGTTCGTTACATCTTCCGAAGCCGCTTGCAAGCACACGTGGCAACGAACGGCGGAAGGGCGCAATCACTTCCGCACGGGCCCGTCAGATATTTCAGTACCATAGGACTATGCTCCACATCTCCCCGTTTTCCGAAACCTCCTTGCAGGCTGCCCAGCAAAACGAGGCCACCCGTCCCCGCTGCAGACTTGTAAAAACTAATGTGCGCGGCGCTACGGCGAGAGTCCTATCTTGGCTCACCCTCCATCCGTACTAGTTCTGCAAACTCTTGAAGCGAGATGTGCCCGACGCTTGGGCGAGAGCCCCATCCTGGAAATGCGGGTTTGAACACGAGTCTCACTTCCTCTGCAACTGTTGCAAACTTCGCGACGTCTGGATCGAAAATGGCGAAGGATTCCCAGGGGAATCGCCCGGACCACCCCACCAGCATGTCTGGGGGTGCGGCATGATAGCGTTATCTACAATGAAACGAAGGGGAACGTTAGGAGGGAACCAGCTCAGCCAGGGAAGCATCGAGCTAGAATCAACGAGTACTCGCCGATAGATCGGCGGTATGCCCCATACAGCGAATCCGAACCTTCCTAGGCGTGGTGGGCCCTGTGCATACCACCACCACCGATGTTGCCCCTGAGGAAGAGGGACGGAGAAGGGGATGGGGGAGATGGAAGAGGAAGATGAGGGAGGGAGAGGAAGAGGATGGGAGAGAGGGCGATGGGGGGAGAAGAAGAGGAGGGACGGAGAAGGGGATGGGGGGAGAAGGGGATGGGGGGAGAAGGGGATAGGGGGAGAAGGGGATGGGGGAGAAGGGGATGGGGGAAGACGAGGGACGGCGAGAGGAGGAGATGGGGGAGGAGGGGGGATGGGGGGAGATCTGATCCTGCTGGCGTGCGACCGGCGGTCGAGACGCGGGTCGTATACCAGCACCCCACGCCGGGAAAAAAGCGGGGCGTGGGAGAGCGGGGGCGCGCGCCGAGCGCAGGCGCCCAATCCGAGCTGCAAACGGGCGAGTCGTGGGGCAAGTGCTCCGTGTCCAAAGACACGAGCTGCAAACGGGCGAGTGAGGTGAGGAGGGGGGCAGAGGGGCGCCAGTGGAGGAGGAAGAGCAGGCGCAGGCACAGAAGGGCATCGGGAGAGCGCCTGCACTGGGAGAGCGTCATAGATGATGGTGACCTTGTTGCGACTCGAGCTTCAAAAGAACCGTACTAAACGTACGTCCGATCAGGCATCCGGTAATTCAGTCCACAGCTACGCGCTGGATCACACCCTATTCTATCCACTGCGAAGCATGCTGCACATTGCTACTTGCGACGAGGCCTTATAGATGCACCTGCAACTGTCCCCCTTGCGGCCTCGGCACCACTTGCATCGCTTGCCTCGGTTGCGTATGTGCTGAACCTCGGCGTTGCCGTTCCGAGGGGGCGCTGAAGTTTCACGCAGCTCCACGGACTTCCTGGGCGGGAGTGACCTGCACCTCTTCTCGGGGAGCCGTATCTTGTCTGGGTCGGCCACGCAGACGAAGGTGTTCTCCACCCAGAACTTGACCTCCACCCCTACAATCTCGTCCCGCTTGTCCGGCGCGCTGGCTCCCAGAATGCCTTCTCGAACTACCACAAGTCGGGCTGCCATCTGCGGTCGACTGAAATCGCGGGGGTATGCTCGGGCTGTGAAACGTGAACGGGATTGCTGACCAATGCTCTGTGAGCGCGCGTGGCATACGAGCTGCCGGGGCAAGCGCGCTGCGGGGCCCAAACTGTTCGGTCACAAACGGACGTAGGCACAATGGCTACGGATACGCATGATGTCAATGTTGGCAGAGGCACGTCGAACAAGCATGATGTCAACGTCAGTAGACGAAGTGTCCCCCTTCAAGGCCGCACCACCATCGCGATGTAGCAGCCTCTCAGTCAGAATTGCTACTCTGGGGGGGGACGTGTTTGTCTTCAAGGCCGCAAGATCACGGCGATGCAACAAACATGGCACCATGCCATCCCCGGGGAAGTCGGCATGGGGTGGGACCTCTTAAGCACAGTTGCATGTGAGGGTATCTCTCCAAGGCCAGAAGATCACGGAGAAGGAACACGCATGGCACTTGAGCGTCCGGAAGCTGTGTCGGCCAACGGGGTTATATGAACCTGTTCGCGCCGAACTTCTTCGGAACTCGCATGAAAAACGAGCCGTTTCGTTGTTAGTGTTGTGTGTGTGTGTGGGTGGGGGGGGTGTAGACGTGTGCCCCGCGGCCATCGCGATGTAGCAGGCACGGCACTTGGGGATCCCAATGGGGGTGTCGACCAAGGGTGTTTGTTCCACCGACTCTTTCGCGACCAGATTGCAAAGATCGTGCAGGCAAACTGGCCGCCTTGGTGCGGTAGAGGTGTTCTTGTGTTTCTCAGAGTCGCATGATCATCGCGATGTAGCAGGCATGGCACCCGGGCGTCGACGGGCGCGTTCGCGACCACATTGCGAGGATTGTTCAGGAAGACTGGCCGATCTGGAAAGTAGCCGTATGCCTTTCAGGGCCGCATGCTCATCGCGAGGTTGCGGGCACGACATTTGGGCGTCTCAAGGGGCCCTCGACTGAGACCAAGGCCGCGCTAGAGGCGCTGTTGCTTAACGCTGGTGTTGGGAACCAAAATGTAGGAAATTACAAACCACACTTCCCTACATTTCCAACGTGCGAAAGTATCGAACGAACACGACCCAGCGAATTGTAGGAATGCACGAACCACGCGCTCCCACAGCACCGAAACCTACATCGCCGTTAACGTGTCAACGGTGAGAGGAAGGATGAGGCGCAACGACAAGGTGCGACTTCTTGTTTTTTGAACCACGACCCACTGCACACCGACAACGACAAACTTTACAAAGGCGCATCTGTCACGGAATACCTGTCGACCACAGGCAGGAGTGACCCTAGGCTAGAGTGACCCGTTGTGCGCGGCTTCATGGGCGCCCGTGGGGGCCCAACGCAATCGCGCAAGCCAGCGTTGCCGCTCCGCATCAACGATCGGCAGGGCGCCACTCGAAAGATTTCTCGCGCCAGCGGGCAGCAGCGGCGGAATTCCGCCGATTGAGTCCGAGCGCCCCAAATGGCACTTCGAAGGCGCTGCGTAAGCAGATGCTGCCGGCGGCCGCCGCGATGGGGTCTGGCACGGTCGGGCTGTTGCGGGGACGTCTGGCCAGGCCCGGCGTCGTGGCCACGACCGGCCCCATCCGAGGGCCTGGGATATATCTGAATATCTTTGGACGACTTATAATACTAAAAACCCCCAGTGACACCTAGCTCATAGGAGGAGGATGAGGAGGAGGAGGAGAAGGAGGAGCAGGAGGAGGAGGGGGAGGAGGAGGAGGAGGAGGAGGAGGAGGAGGAGGAGGAGGAGAGGGGAAGGAGGAGGGAACAGGAGGGAGGAGGAGGGAGCAGGAGGGATTATTCAAAAACATTCGAGCCCGACGCTTTGGGATGTGGGCTGGGATTCGGGACTGGTCCTGGGCTGGCCGGCCGACCGGCTCCCCCTCGGGTCACCACTGCAGGCTGCAGGGTGCGACGCGCAGGCGCTGCTGTCGACTGCACGGGGTGGGCCCAGACCTGGCGCGCTCGGGTGCGAGCGTAATCACGCGATGCGGGTGCCGCCGACGCGAAGTCAAGCTCGTTCCCCGAGAAAAATCACCCGACCCCCCTTGGGCCAGCACCACAGGTCGCTCCGGCGAAGAGTCACTCTGACGCGTAGTCGATACCTCTCGGAGGTGGTGGACAACCAATCCTTAAATGGACTCGGGTGTCGAGCGCACAGCAGCGGCGGCACGTGTGAATTACCCTACACTCCCACGCCGAAAGCTGAACGAAATGTCCTGCACAACCTCGCCTGTCACGGTTTCCGCGACAGGAGCTGCTTGCATCACCAAAGTAGAAACAAATCGCATGCCACGTTGCGACGTTGCGGGAGCCAAGAAGAAGGCGTGAATTGCAGCGAGCACTTCAGAGAGCGCAGCGCGGCAAGCAGCGACGCAGATCAGCAAGTGGCGGCAAGGAACAAACAGCAGCCCTCACAGACACTGACTACATACCAAACCACCCCAACCCAACTTGAAGACCCGAATTTGACTCGAATTTCGCGTTGGGGGGGTACGAGTTCCATATGTGTTTTTTCAATGTTCCCCGACCCCACCCAACTGGAACTGGAGGGCAAATTTGGGCTTTCGGGTTGAGGCCCAGACTCCTAGGCCACGCTGACGGCGATCCTGCTTAACGGTGGTGTTGGAAATCGGACTGCAGGAAAACACGGACCACACATTCCTACATGTCCGATCTGCGGATGTACCGAACGAACACGACACAGCGAATTGCAAGAAAGCACGAGCCGCGCGTTCCCACAATACCGAAACCTACATCGCCATTACCTGCATCGCCGTTCGCGCGTCTACGGAGACTCGCTCACGCCGAGTCGCTCACATAGTGAAGTGTCGAAGGCGTCATGCGCAAATGTTGTGATTTGCTCGTCGAGCAGTTCGACGTCTCTGGGGACTTTTCGGGAGTGGCGATCTTTCACGTGCTTTCTGATGCATTCGAGATGTCCGGCGGACTTGGCACGTTCAGTATTGGTATGTGTTGAATATTACAGTAGGGACTCGACCACAAGAAACCTTCCACAAGAAACCCAACCCTGAGACCCCAGGACGGTCATAGATTTGTGGCATGGGGACGTCACGCTTTACATGGCAAAACCATCGAAACCCAAGAACCCCAGGGCATCCTGGAGGCAAGCGGGGCGTTTCGTGGCATGGGTATCCACTGCATGTGTTAAATGCTACGTGTTCAACATTACGGACACTTGGTGACCCATGCGTGACATTTGCAAGACAACGGTTTTCCAAACGCTCCCGGAAACAAAATCCGGATAGAGAGAGACACAGAAGGGAGGGAGAATGGAGGGAAGGAACATGGAGGAGGAAGGATGATCAGACAGGAGAAATGCCGGGGAAACGTAAGACTCGGGTCGGGAGACTCGGATTGGCCTGATGGGGCCATCAATGAAAATGGTGAGACCTAATCTGACATCTGACGTGATCTCCCGCTGTAAACATCCCACGAAAACTGGACCGTCAAAATCCGGGACGCGCTCGTCGAAACACGTCGGCAAGCCAAAAAAGGACTCCTAACCCTTTCGGGGGGGGAAATAAGTCAGGAGGCCGAAAAACATAAGGGATAAATGGGGCCTTCTCTGCAGACGTATCAGACCAAGCCGCCCAGAATGATTATCACTAATGCGACGACGGGGACCTCGGTGAGGCGACGTCTTCATCGTTAGGGTTAGGGGACCGTTTAGAAGAAGAAACAACGCCATAAACATAAACTTTTGGCGCTCCGCGCGGATTTCCTGGATCTGAGCTGGACCCCCCTCCCTGGCGCGCGGAGCGCGCGGCGCCGCCTGAAGGAACCCAGCGCGGATCCAAGAAATCCGCGCGGAGCGCCGAAAGTTTGTGTTTACGGCGTTGTTTTTTCTTCGAGGTAAGGGGGTCTTCTGTGCTCGATGATCCGAACGCCTCACCGTTCGAGGCTGCAACCTCGAGCCTGGGAGCTCGCCGCCCACCACCCCGACGACGACGGCGACGACGGCCACGACGACGACCACGACGACGACGACGACGACGACGACGACGACGACGACGACGACGACGACGACGACGACGACGACGACGGCGGCGGCGGCGGCGGCGGCGACGACGACGACGACGACGACGACGACGACGACGACGACGACGAGCGGCGGCTTAGGCGGAGGGGCCGCCCCCGCCCGACGCCCGGCGGGTGGGCCCGCGCAGCAGGTTCGGGTCCTCCAGGGCGCCGGGTTGCTGCTCCATGGCTCGGGTTCGAACGCAAGGGGGGGGCGCACCGTGCGCTGGGACGGACCCCTCCCGGGAGAAGGAGGAGGAGGAGGAGGAGGAGGAGGAGGAGGAGGAGGAGGAGGAGGAGGAGGAGGAGGAGGAGGAAGGAGGAGAGGGAGGAGGAGAAAAGGAAGAGGGGGAGGGGAGGAGGAGGAGGAGGAGGAGGAGGAGGAGGAGGAGAAAAGGATGAGGATGAGGAGAAAGGGAGGATGAGCAGGAGGACGAGCAGGAGGAGCAATGAGCAATGACCCATACGCAGGGAACTCAAACGATTTGCTCGACATTGCTACCATCGACATGGCGAACAGCTCTGCGCACCCCAGTATCTTGGGGGAGCGGATTCACCATTCACGGACAGCTGTCGTTTTCGTCGAACCCCCTTCTGCCCTCACGTCCATGCTGCCCCGTCCTTCCTTTCTCCTCCCTGTCGTGGCGCCGCTCAAGCGCCAGGGGCAAAAGAGGGGGAGGAGGGAGGGAGGTCGAGGGGGAGGAGGAGGAGAAGGAGGAGGAGGCGAAGTAGCAGGAGGAGTGGCACCGCTGAAAGAGACGAGAAGAGGGCAATCGGACAAGACGCGAGAAGAGGGCGACAGGACATCCGTCATCAAGAAGAGAGCGCACCAGCCTCGATCTCCTTGCCGAGGTGCGAAGCCGAGCTTGGGCTAGGCCCTTTGCCCGCTGAGGCGACACAGGGTGCCACCGACAGGCCTGAAATACAGAATGAGGCGTGTCGATGGCGATGGCATGGGAGAGAAGCGACGCAGAGGGAGGAGGAGAAGCGGCGGCCACCCCAGCAACGGCAGAGGGCACAGTGGCAACAACCGTAGCCGTAAGGTCGAAACGATGAGGAGAAATAGCTTTCAAAAGATCCT